GGAAAGAGGGTTGAAGGTGTATGTTAATCGTGGCTAATGGAATCTAAGCTGAGACATGAGGCAGGTGAAGAACAGCAACTAGTTGGTAGAATGAATAGACTATGGTGCCAGGTGGGACTAAATTATCAGTACTGGAGAAAGGCACTTAAAGATAGGGTACAATAAATACACATTAAAATTCCTGCCCTGGCTGGTTTGGCTAAGCGGATAGAGCATCAGACTGTGGACTAGAGGGTCCCAGCTTCGATTCCGGCTGAGTGCACGTGCCCAGGTTGCGGGTTCCATCCCCCCCAGTAGGGGGTGTGCAGGAGGCAGCCAATCAATGATTCTCTCTCATCATTGAAGTTTCTATCTCTCCCCCTTCCTCTCTGAAATCAATAAAAAATATTGTTAAAAAAATTCCCAAGCTTTGGCCAGCTACTATTTATTAGCCACTGAAACTCCTAGTTTCAAACTTCCTATCTGTAAAATGGCATTAACATCGATTGGTTAAGGCTGTTTTAGGTAATGAATTTAAATATCCAGTAATTTTGAAGTCTGTGTACAATTAAAAGATAAGCATGCTATCTCATAGCATCTGGAAACATGAACAAATACGTGAATGCCAGCACAGATCACTTCTAAGCACCTTATACCAAAGACTAACCATTAATAACTACCATTTACCAAATGCCAGGCACTGTGCTACCTGCTCTACTTGCATTCTCTCACTTCACCCTTATAACACTTTGAAATAGAGATGTTTCTATATGCTAATTTTACACATAAAGAAAATGAGATTTAAAGGTTCAGTTGCTACAAGTCCTGCAACTCATAAGTGTTGGAGCCAGAACTCAAAATGATGTCTGTCTTCAGAACCAGTGTCTGTGACCATGGTACTACATCATGCACCTCTTTAAGTCAGGAATGGACATAAATTACCAACATGGAACACAGCACAAGAGGGTTAAAAATATACACTCTCTGGGTAAAAATGGTGGGTTGAGAACATACATCTACTCCCACTCTCTCCTGAAATTCTATTAAATGACAGCAAAGATTTTTATTTGTTTTAGGGTATAAACCTAAGAGGGAAGAAGAGAAGAGACAACAGCAACAAAGTTAGAAGTTGGAAAGCAGATGGACAAGTAGTAAATAACATAGCAGACCCAAGAAAACTGAATCCTGAGTTAACAGTAAGAAAAGCAAAACAACCCAATTTACATTACAGAATCCCTAAAAGGCTCAGGAACTGGTGACTTCATATGCTTGTGGAAGTAGGAGGTGAAGGGGTAGACATGAAAATAAGAATTGGTTGAAGGTTTAAGTAGGCAGATGCTCTCTGCAACTCTACATCGCTAAGAAGGCTCCTTGCCAAATTAGATGTTCATTTTCTGAAAAGGGTAAAATAGCAGATTTTCTGGATTTGGGGATGCTAGGCAGTTATGGACAGGGTACTGTACTCAATACAAAGGTTCAGTGAAAAATGAACACTGGACATGAGATACAGAAAACAAGAGCTCCAACATGGGAGACGAGGAAAAGGAATTCCCAGGATGATGGTGAAGAGAGATCCCAGAGTACAGCCATACATCAGATATAGAAAACTGTGAGTCTAGACTGAGGGAGGTCAGAAAGCTCCCGGGAAAAATCAGCAAGATGAAACAGCATATCTAATGAAACTGAACGCTGGGAGCAATGGTGAAAAGTTTAGTTGATTTAGTGGTAAATTCATAGAAAATGAAGCCTAGGAAAAACAAAACGATGTGCAGTAAACAAAAACAACGAACAGCACCTGGAATTCTACCAATATAATTAACTAGGAAGAGATGAATGTAGTTGCATTGCCTCTAGAAGACTAAAGACTGTCCCCTTCCCCAACAAACTTGGAGAACTATCTGACTTTACAAATACACGGTTTTTCCTTTGGTGGTATTACATATCTTCAGCACCAAGCAGCAATGACACCTTCCACAAAGATTGTTTAATAAAACAATGTTGCTTCATCAGGATTAGCAAATTCTCCATTCCTAAATAAGAGGAACTCAATTTCATGCAGTTGTAATAATCACAATATTACAGTAGTCTCATCAGTGATTGATTTGCAGCAAAAAGCAGGTTTAGAAGAAAAAACACAAATTTTCTTAATTGGTACATTTATTAAAAATATAGACTAACGGTCCTGTGCTTAAATGTTGTTGTGGATGTGTGCTGGCTTCCATAAAACATAACTAGTCATAAGGAGCTCTTCAGTATACTCCTGACAGAGTAAAAAGGTCACTAGAAATGACTTATAAGACAGGGCCACTGCCATAATTCCCAGTATCACAGGCACAAGAAACGTGTTTCCATGTTTCCCAAGTAGTTTTCTGTTTTAGCTACGAAGGTCAGTTACCACAACCAAACTTGTTCTTAACAAGTAGAAATTTTATGTCCATTCAAGCAGAGTCTCTTACATCTTTCTGGGCCTATTCATTTGCAGAGTAGAAACTGTAACCAGGTTCTTCATATCATGCATTCACATGTATTGTCCAATCTTTATATGCTGTCCAATTTCTTTAAGATAAAAGGAGCTGAAAGAAAAATAAAACAAACTGAGAATTTGTTTTCATTAGCCCAAGTGACATTATGAAATTATAAGGTTGGGAACAAATCTATAGGATTAGATCAATACATTTGTGAAAACAACTGCAAGTGATGGCCAAGCCTGTCTGTACAACCCATCAAAAGGGACTCACTGTCTTTCAAGGTGGCCCATTCCAGTGTCAAGCAGCAATGACTGAATAGAGTAAATCCAAACCTCTTTTAAATGACAATCCTTTACTCTTCAGATTTCACTGTCAAGGGCACAAAACTCTAGAAGAAACAGACTAGCATTTATTTTACCTTTAAAAACGCATTTGAAAGAAGGCAGTGGGTGAGAGTAGAGACACAACAATGAACTAGGACAACCAGAAAAGCCAATCACACATTTTTTGTTGTTGTTAATCCTCACCTATTTTTTTCATTGATTTTTTTAGAGAGCGGAAGGAAGGGTGGGAAGGAGAGAGATGGGGAGACACACACACACACACACACACACACACACACACACCCGCTGATTGGGTGCCTCCCGCATGTGCTCCTACCGGGCTGGGGATTGAACTTGCAACTCTTGACCAGAATTGAACCTGAGGCCCTTTGGTGCTGGGGCTGACACTCTAACCACTGAGCCCACCAGCCAGGGCCAGTCACACATTTTGATTCCCCCACCAATAGCTATGCCAGACCACAACCCTACTTCAATTATTATGGCCTATTAGGATAGTGTTGGTAGAAATGTCTAGAAAACTAGTAAGTGTCATAAGGATCTAAAGAATATTACTGTTCTGTATAAAAGTGCTATGGCCAAATAAGCACATGAAAAGATGCTCAACAAAACTAATCATCATGGCAATGCAAATTAAAACTATAAGAGGATACCACCTCACATCTATTACGATGGCTACTATAAAAAAAACTGGTGGCAAGGATGTAGAAAAACTGGGACTTTTGTAGTCACTGTTGGTGGGAATGTAAAATGGTTATAGCTGCTATGGAACACAATGGTGGTTCCTCAAAAAATTAAAAATAGAGGTATTTGTACATTGATGTTCACAGCAGCATTACTCACAGTAGCTAAAACATAGAAGCAACCTAAGTGTCCAAAGATGTTTGAATGGATAAGCAAAATATGGTATAAAATGGAATATCATTCAGCCTCAAAAAGGAAGGAAATTATGAACATATGCTACAACATAGATTGACCTTAGGACATGAAATAAGCCAGTTACAAAAAAAATAAATACTGTATGAGTCTACTTATATGGGGTATTTAAAGAGTTCTGGAGAGTGCCCTGGCCGGTTGCTCAATGGTTAGAACATCAGACCACACACTAGGGATTGTGGGTTTGATTCTTGGTCAAGGGCACGTACCTGGATTGCAGGTTCCATCCCTGGCCCTGGTGGGGGTATGTGCAGGAGGCAATCAATATATGTCTCTCTTTCTTTTCTTTTTTAAAATATATTGTTATTGACTTCAGAGAGGAAGGGAGAGAGAAACATCCGTGATGAGAATCACTGATCAGCTGCCTCCTGCATACCCACTACTGGGGATCTAGCCCTCAACCCCAGCATGTGCCCTAACCAGGAGTCTAACTGTGACCTCCTGGCTCACAGGCAGACACTCAAGCATTGAGCCACACCAGCTTGGCTCGAGGTGTCTCTTTCACATTGATGTTTCTCTCTCTTTCTCCCACCCACCCTTCCCCCTCTCTAAAAATCAATGGAAAAAATATCCTCGGGCCGAAACCGGTTTGGCTCAGTGGATAGAGCGTCGGCTTGCGGACTGAAAGGTCCCAGGTTCGATTCCGGTCAAGGGCATGTACCTGGGTTGCGGGCACATCCGCAGTAGGAGATGCGCAGGAGGCAGCTGATCGATGTTTCTCTCTCATCGATGTTTCTAACTCTCTATCTCTCTCCCTTCCTCTCTGTAAAAAATCAATAAAAT